CCTCGGGCTACAATAACGACCAAATACCCATAAGGGCTAAAACAGAAAAACATAAAAATCAAATAAACTACTACATAAAATGATGAAAATAAAGATCATGAACGTGGCCGTCAATCTCCGGCATCTCCTGATGGTACACGTGTCGCAATCTCTGACGATGTCCTCATCATGATGACTTTTGTATATTTTATTTTATATGATTCTAATGTTATGATAAGTTTTGCATAAAAAATAAATATTTATATGAATGGGACAAATGTATTATTTTAATGTCTTCAAATTTATGGACTTTTTTGCAAAAAAAAATATAACAATTAAGATTGTTGGGTTTAGTGTTCTATGTTGAAAACGAGCATGGCTATTATTGGCATGAATTGAGTTCAAGAAAGGAGAGAGAGAAGTTGATGTTCATAGAATCTATTATATATAATTTAGGGTTCGTTTGGGAAAAATTTCTTAATGTTTTTTAAAACATAGTTTTTGTTAAAAAAAAAAAAAATAGTTGAATTAGATTTTTTGTATTAAAAAGTTGTTTTAAACAGCAATGAGAAAGCTGTCCCAAATGAAAACTTAAGCTTAAAGTTGACACCTTGGGTAAAGAGAAGGCAAGTCAAATCAAGCTAAGAGAGTGATATAGGTATGAGAGAATCTCTTCAAGAATCTAAAGCAATTTTAATGAGATTATAGGCCAAAAATAGAGAATTAATTATTCATTTATAATATCGTTCTTACTATTTGTAAAGCAAGTTCATAGTATAAATTTTTTAAAATTTGAAATTTTTATAGTAGAAAACAACTTTAAAAAGCAGTAAGAAAGTTGTCCTAAATGAAGCGTAAAGTCATTTTCATGCTCGACAAGACCATCTTTTTATTGGTGAAGATCAAAATGGGTGGAAAATGATGGTTCATGATGATTTGCATAACAAATTTGTAAGTAAACTCTATTTAGCTACATATAAAAGAGTTTTGCTAATAGTTGTCCACTAAATGAGAACTTCAATTAAGACTTCGTTTGTGACAGCTTTTTTATTGCTTTTGAAGCAGCATTTTAGTATAAAATTTTTAATTTTTATACTAGTAAGTTGCTTCAAGAAGCAGTAAAAAAAGCTGTCCCAAATGAAACCTAAGTTTGAAATTGAGGACAAGTATCTTTAGAAAGTTCTCTTGGTGAAAAATCCTACTCATCATGTCAATATCATAGGTAATAACTTTGATAAGTAGACAACTTCACTGGTCACTTAGATGATTTCAGTAGCTGAGTACTAAGGACAAAATATAATATTTCTATTGGTCGAGTTAATGAATTAAAGCTTTTGGTTACTTCAAACTTGGTGAATATTGAGTTATGGATAATATGAGTTTATTCATATTCAACATTGCTAACTTTTGTTCAAGTTCTCTTATTGACTTAATCATTCTAAACCCTAATTAATATATGTGTACGTCAATTCCTTTACTCTAGCTTTACTTTTGAGAAGTTGAGAAAAAGAGGAGAATGAATAGAGTTAACCCAATTTGACAAACATAAATATGTATGATTTGCAGCATTAGATCTATAATAATTCGTATTTTTACACAGATAAATAATTTTGTTCTAGAATCATTACAAGTCCAAATCATAAACCATCTTCGTCATAGCATAGATATTGTAATGTTTTAATTGCATGAATTTTTTTCTTGGGTACTATTAAAAATCCTTATGAAATTGATACATATTAGTCCAAGTGAGGGTCTTGGGACCGTTAGGTGTCCGTTTTGCAAACTATTTTCACTGGTATTTTCAAAATAAAATGATTTATTTTATTGATATTTTTCTATAACTTTTTAATCCCTAAAAGATTTTATATGAATTTTTATACAAAAACTAATAAAATCAAATAAGTAAATTAGTATTGTTTTCAAAATATCTTAAGCCACTAACATAAGCCATAAATCCCTTTTAATCCCTAGGCTTAACACAGACCTAAAATGAGAAAATAAGAGATAATGTGAGGAGAGAGAAAAGGAAATTTGAGATTTGAATGACATAGTGCAATTTTTATCCATCGATGTTGTTGGAAGATTTACTCGTTTTATTGTAAAGAACATTTAGCCTATTTTTTATTACAAGGATTTTATTTTTTGATATTTTTTTATCAAATTTTTATTTCTATTACCGAAAAATAAAGATAATTTTGTATGGTAAAACTTTCATCGTGTAACTTTTTATATGTTATAGAGATTGAGATTATGAAAATTTGAGTATTTATTTGAGATTTTTGCGAAGTGATTTTAAAAAGTAGTGATTTTAAGCTACTCAAAAATTTATTTAACATCTAAAAATAGTATTTTAGTTCAATAAAGCTTCGGAATATTATTATATACAATCCATACTAATTTGATTAATTTCATAAAAAGTGAATTTTTGCTCAAAAAACTTTTATGTTGACTATCGTTTGAACAGTTAATACTTTTTAAATTCAGCTCAATTATACTTTATTTGTTGTAATTTATTGGAAATGAATTTAGATATTTGATTAAGATTATTATTATAGTACTTTAATAATAATGTGTGTGTAAAAGATAAGTAATGAATGGTTGACTCATTGATTGGAGACTGATTGACCTATATAGAATGATGAGCTAATGGGCTTTCTTTAAATACTTCAGTTTGATATTATCCTCTAATAATTCACGTGATACTAATTTTGAGTTATAAAAAGATGATTACTGAGCTGACGGTTTAAATAATGAAACCTATGTTTACTAAGCCAACGATTTATTAACATTGATATTAGAAAAACACTGTTATAACCAAGGCATTTATTTTTTTTTTAATTTTACTATTAGAACGCATATTGTCAAATAACTGCCACTACATGGCTTTTCTATTTCTTTCATCAATGATGTGGATGTTATTAATGTTATATCATTGTTAATATGTCGATCACGTGATATATATTAAGTATGTGTACTGCACATTGATATTGGGTTGACACTTATATGATATTTTTGAGCATGTGATACACTGATACAATTATTTTATATAGTTCTACTTGATTGACATGACTTTGATAATCTTTATTGATATTTTGATTTGTTGCTTTATATGATTTCTCTATTGATTATAGTATTGATATGATGATTTCTTTAGTGATTTAACACATGTATTGGTTTATTAATTTCTTTATTACATTGCTCTATGATCTTGTGAGTGCTATTGTTATGATTTGACTGTTTCTCCATTGATTTTTAATGAGATTAGTTATAGGATTTGGTTGTTTGATGGGTTTATGAGCTCATTATATGTGATTAAATATTTTTAGGTCATGGGAGAGGATCAAGAGTGTGAGGCTGGTCATGATTTCCCAAGTTATGTTCCTTTTTGTTTTAGCAATTATTTTATGCTCATCATAGAATAGTGGTAGTATGATTGTATAAATTCTGAGTATTGTATATGATTATTGGGTATAAATCTAGATGTATATATATATGTTTTGAATTCTAAAATTATTGTTGTTGTTTATTTCTGATAAATGAAATTAGAT